AACTCCTGAGGAATTATTTACCATTTAGCATTTGCGAGCCCAATTAGGATATGAGTCTGCTGAGCATTTGCATCCAGTTTTCCAAAAGATGGAGAGGTCTTTCAATGTGCAAATTAATTTTTTTCTTTTTCAGTGAATTACTTTTCTTCATTTTGCAAAATTACCTTCTGTTTCATTGTTTGGGAATATCAACTTCTGGGACACAATCTTGTTAGATTATCTTTGTCTTTAAAATTTATAGACTTTTCTCTAATTGCATTAACCCATTTTCCTTTTTCATTCACTCTGAGTTTTTCAAAACTTTCAACTTTATGCCTAAAGATTTTCACCTGAGCCTATTCTGTTTTCTTCTATTTCTAATGAATATTTTTCTATAATCATTATGATTTTCCATTTTTAATTCATTTCCTGAGATCTAGATCTCCTTTCTCATTTCATTCTCTTATCATTTCACCTTTGAGCTTTTCTTTTATAAAATTTATGTTTTTTATTAAGGTTCTCTTTTTGTGGGAAGCAATACTTAGACATCTAATTCCATGGGTTCAATGAGTTGATGTTTCTCCTTCGTAGAAGCTCTAAGGTTAGTTGGTGAGATGTACATCATTCCAAAGAGCTATGAATCAATCATTCTTCCAGTTTAGTGTGCTGCCCTGAAGTCTTCATTTCTACTATTTCTCGGTCACAAGAGCAAACAAGAACAACCCTAAAAGGTGAGGATTCAGTTTGCGTCTCTCCGGATTTGGGAATTTTAGTGAGAATTCTCAGGAGCTAGTCAACTTGCCAGTAAAATTCTAAGACAGCCCAGGAGACAGGTCTCTCTGTTATGATCAAAGAACCTCCGCTTCCATTTTTTTCCTTGGTTGATAGACTCTGAGGTCTATTGCACTAGGTTCTATCATTTTCTTTACTCGGATACTGTTGAATAATTGGGTGGCAGGGGTTCAAGGGGTGTTTGTTGGCTGACATGCTATATTGAGCTCACTTCATTATTTATCAGTAGTGAGAAATTATGAGGTACATTTTCAAAATCTCTGATCTCCAAAATCAAAATCATCATTTAGAATATTTTTTGAATTCAGAATTTCAATTTATTTTCATCTCCTAAGGGGTTTTATTGTATTTTCCTACTTAACGGACATACAATAATTATGCCTCCTGTGTCATCCTTAGAAACATAAAATACTCATTCTTGTCCCCATTCTCAATGAGCCTATTTGTAACTATATTTCTGACTGATACCTATCAACTCTCTCAATTGGTAACAGATTTGCAAGTGAAGATAACCTGAGTTAGAGAATGGCAAAACAGTAATTATGGGGAATACCAGAAGTGATTCTTGACATGACAGGAACATTTTACAGACTTACATTTTCATAATTAGATTCTGCTTTTCAAGTAGACATAAGTGACGTGACTCCCGAATCTAAAATGTTTCCTTCTCCTCAACACCACATACCAAGGAACAAAGGGATTCAAAAAGGGTGAAGACATATAAAATAATTTTAGAATTTCAATTTAAATGTTTTTCTTTTATACCATAAAATAAGAATAGATGGCCAAAATAGGAGTTTTCCTTATTGTAAATATATCTTACATTACTTCTGTACAACCTCTAGGAAATTCCTTTGTAATAATTGTTCCAATATTATTTGGCCAGCTCTGCTGCCCAACATGTTAAATAAGATGCCTGGCAACGGGAGAACACCCCTAATCCTGCCAGCTCCTGCAGAGTGACCTGAGTCAATATTTGCGCATGCTTCAGTTTCTGCCACAGTTATCACTTACACTGGCCCACACAAGCCACAAAAGTAGGGATGTACTTGGCATAATGTGTCACTCATACTGAATTCTAAGATCTAATATTATAAAACTTTAAACTAAAATATATTAGTACAATATTATAGAATCTGGTTCTACCAAAGATGGTTAGCCTGGCTGTCAGTATCAGAAAAACACAGAACCATAAAAAACACTTGTATTCCAATAGTATATAAAGAGCACTGAACAAAAACCATCTATATTAGTGCATAATATCCAATATAACTAGAACAACAAATGGGAACTCTAAAGCAATTGCTAAGTAAATTATACAGCAGAACCAATGTTTTAAAAATAAGTTCAAAAAATCTGCCATTGGGGTTCACTGTTCAATCACATACTGTGCAACTTCCTTGACTTTATTATATAATGAGACATTTCACAGAACACACACATACACACACACACACACACACACACACACACACACACATACACTAACCACTCTGACCTATAGTAATAATCTGCATAAGGAAAAATCTTAACTCTTATCAGACCAAGATAAAAAAAATAGTTGATTTATAAGATAATTAAAGAAAACGGATTATCAAAACAAACAATCATTTCCTCCCATGTGACCTACAATGTAACTTATTTGGCTTGTTCAGCAAGATAGAACATGGCATTGAAAAGCCAGGATCCTAGGTTCATTCACTAAAAACAACAATAATAATAATGAGTATAACTTTTAAAGACATATTGACACATTTGAACCTCACAAGAATGCTAAGAGACAAGCAGAAGGACATCATTATTCTTCAGTTCGAAGACAAGTAAAAAATCAGTACACAATTGGCTAGCAGCAGAGCTCATGCTAGAGTAAAGAGCGTCTGACTCCTAGAACAGTGCTCTCTCCACTCCTCTTCACTGCTGCCAGGCATCCTTTCTCTCTTTCAAATCCAAAGACTCTCTCTACTTCTAAGCCTATGAATCACATCCAGACCACTGGTCCAAAAGGGAGCTAAACAAGATTTGTAGCTAAAGACAAACACATCCCTAATTTAGCTGTTAACTCAAAGGACAAACCCTACTGATAGTGGTTCACCAGCATCACCATCTGTTTCCTAGCCCTACAGCGGTGGATCTCAGTTTACTGAAGGTTAAAATAGGTAGAGAGATTTTAAAAACCTCAGTGCCCACGCTGTCCCCCACACCAATTAAATCAGAAATTCTGGGAGTGAAATCTAGGTATCGTATTTTGTAAAGAGCTACTGGTGAGTCCACCTTTGAGAACCAGTGCCTCACAGGAAATACATAATAAAGACTAAATTAAATTTAAGAACATATATGAAATATATGCTATGGTAGGAAGAATGCAATTGTTTTCATGCTTCATGTTTTAAAAATAAACAGAACTTAGTGATTATGTGTTTATACCAGACAAGTTTGGGAGTTGATGTTAACCTATATCACCTTTCATTTAATAGCTGGTGCTTAAATGTTGCTTCTTGTAGAACTGGCAAAAGCATGGACAGACTGAAACACTTCCCCGTCTGAAAATCTTATTGCTTTGTATGCAAACCACTAAATGCTAGGAAAATGACCATCTCTACTGAAATAGGTGTAAAGTTGTGTGTGATTATCAAAGATGTGGAGAAAAAAAATCCAAAGCTTGCAAACACCTGTAGCCAGCCTCACAGTCAGCAGACACTTGCTACTTGGAAGGCATGTATGTTTCTACCATATGAAAGAAATATCAAACTTGAAACACAGATGTGAGGACTAAAAGGATAAAGCATAGTACTGAAAAGATTTCTAAAACAGTTATTTTCAAAGAGTTCATCCATATTTTAAAAATAAAATGCTAAGTTAAATGACCAGTCCCATTAGAGACATACCTGCTAAACCCTCGCGGAGACCTTGTCAGCTTTGCTGCTACAAGAATAAATGGTACTGAAATCCTGGTAGGTTTGCTTTTGTTAAGAAGGCACTACTCATTAACATAATTCCTGTCACTTAAGTGTATAAATGCCAAATTGTGCAAAATTGATATTTTATTGTGATTCCATGAGAAGACTGGGTCAACAGAAGCTTTGACCTTAAAAACATCATAACTAACCAAGGTTTAAAGAAAACTAGCTTTAGACATAGATCCCCATATGGGAAGGTGTATTAACACCAAAACAGACATCATGCCAACCTGTGGAGTATTTCTTTCACACCTAGCTCTACAAAGTAAACACTGCTTTATATGGCATTCTTATCATGGAAATCTAGGCGGTGATCTATAATTACAATTAAGCCCACATGGGAAGTGGGATCTAAGTGAGAACTTTAAGCCAATTTTAGGTTGAAACATTCAGAAGGGAACAGAAACAAAGAGTTCCCAAAGCTTTAGGAAATAGCCATAGGAAATAAATATGAAAGGCAATTATTACAAGTAAGTGATATTGCCTGGAGAGTATATTCATTTACTAAGTATAAATCGACAAGGCTGACAAGCTCCATCTCCCACCAACTCATCTCCTGGAGAAACTAGAAATTAGAATCTGTTTCTATTATCCTTTAAAATGCTGCACCTGCTTTTAACACATTTACATGTGTGTTATGCCATCGCATCTGCCTGACAATGCTAGACTTTCCACATGTTTCTGAAGAAAATTAAAATAAGCATCTGCTAATAACAATTGTATTTCATCCTAAACAGTTTCATTTGGGGCTGTCAAGAAAAAGGCACATAATGGAAAAAAGAAAACTACCTTTATAACTCTGTAGCAAACATATTTTAGGAGGTAGTCTATAAATAGATGTGCTTCTGTAGGCACACAGTAAATACAAAATCATCAGGCTAGCCAGTGCTAAAACAGAAGCCCCGATATGAACTTACCTGATTTTTAAAGTCCTATTAGAATAGGCTTACAATCAGTATAGATCTCCTTTTTCTAGTGGCATAGTAAAGGTGAAAACACCTCCAACTACATTTTACTTATCTCAGTTTCATCTTTCATCAGAAGCAATAGTTTGCAATTTCATTCAGAAGCTGCTGTCCCTAAGCAGACAGAATATGCACAGAAACAGTAATGGAAGGGATCTAAGTTAAACCCTACAGACGCACCAAGAAAATAGCAACATCAACACGAAAAAGCAGCAATTTCCTTAAGAGAGGTGCTTTTCTTAGCTGCATTTCCCAAGCCAGCCCCCTTTCAAACCTAAAACGTCTCAGTTATGAAAGAGGATCTTACCTGAGCTGATCATACTGTGCATTCTTTGCTGAGCCAAGAGCTGCTCTCGTCCAGCCACCCCATCTGAGGAAAAACAGGAGTCACTCTCGTAAATTGTCTGCAGCATAATCCAGTCACTCTTACTTCAGCTACATGAAACATTCATCACTGCTCAGTGCACCGGCCCCAGGAGCTACCCTCGCTGGTTCTGCCTCCTCCCTGAGGAGAAGCAGCAGAGGATCAACTTCGACAATGATTTCCTTTCTGCTCAGATGGACATCCACTTTTTAAAAGAGCTGGACACTTTTCCCATGTTACCAACCTGTGTGCAAAGCAGAAAGGACAGAGTGGATGCTATAGCTCTCTGGAGTTTAGGTTATCCGGGAAGCTACAAGCAGGTGGGAAATAGGAACGTGCTTCGGGGTTATTTCTTTGTCAGAATAAGTAGAAAATTATTAAGTCTACCCACGAGAAAAAGAAACCAATTAAACCTGGCTTATAGTTCTTCAGGCTGCTAGGGTTTTGTTGCAAAAACCCTCAGTCCTGTAAGTGGCTCCAGCCGGTGCCCTTCTCCTATCTGCGTCTGTGCCTCTCTTCCCCCTTTCTCAGTCTCTCTCAGCTCAAGTTGGCTAAAGCAAGTGGTAATCCATTTGCATATGAATCAACAACAGCATGGCCCACAGGCACAGAAATAGAACAATGGTCGGCCTGAGCCAAAAATAGGTCAAGCATGGCCGAGTGATTGGAGCCTGCATTAATGCATTTAAAAATACCCCAGCAAACCCAGCTGTCCAGCCTCTATCTTTCAAACCATAATTCTCTATTGCAGGGCCTTAAAAGCAATTAACTCTTTCCTCCCTCGGAGCTTGCTTTACACACTGTGTTTCCATACTGGCGATTTGCTTCCAAAGAAAGGAAGGCAAGAAAAAAAATTAAGAATCATAATTCTAAGAGGGCAAATGCACATACATTTCATTTCATTTTATTTTTGTAGTATGTGTTTTTGGAAGAGAGAGGAGAGAAGTGCAGAGCTCTGTATTGGTTCTAAAATAATACTGGAAGCTTTTGCTCATAATGTGGTTTCTGCCTCACCCACGCACAGCAATCCTGGTGTTCTATTTTTGTTGCCTGTTTCTCAGGCTACACTGCAGTTGGCTGTACCACTAGAAGCTTTTCTGCCTTCTAGTTTCAGGACTAACAGGAGATTTAGTAAAGGTAGTTTTGGAAAGCAAGCACACCCCAGAATAAAATTTTTATGAAGGACCTTGATTTTTTTACTTGCTATTTATCCAAGATAATTGTCCATTTCACAAATCATATCGTATCTTAGTACCACCTATGAATTGTATCGCACCCATGTAGTTAGTACTATATCTACAAACAAAACAAAACACAAAACCATGGCTTATATGTGAAAATTTCCCGTCTGATCCTCTCAGGCTAAATTCAATTTACTTGCAAAAGGAAAAGAAAATACTCTGATTTCTTATGAATACAGAATTTCTAAGCATATGCACCTGTTGATGGATAAATCAATATGGTTAGTACCCAACTATGACTGTTCTGCATTCAGCTATACATTGGTTGCCTGAAATATGAGCCTCTTAACTTTTCTATAGAAATACCATTTATGATAGTCAATAGTTTCCCAGACACATTGTGGCGTTCAGCTATACAGTGCAGTAGATAGTATCAGAGTTTTATAGTCTCTGGTGCACATTTATATCATTTCTATATAAGAGATAAATTTTACATTCCAAAGTGGGATTCTAGCATCTTGTCACTTCCAAGAGCAAACCCAAAAGTGATAATCTACTAGTCATGGAAGCTCTTTTCTCTTTTCTAAACTAAATCAGCGAGGAAAATGTAAGTCTAAGGCATCAGAAGCAAAAGCGAAAAGAGGAAAAATCAGATTATTTCAAGATTCCCAGAACAATTCAACGAAAGAGGGATCTTGGTTAACTACAGAGTATGAAGTCAGAGGAGGCAGACAAGGGGACACAGAGTTTTGACGAAAGGGAAGAAATAAACATGTTAAATCATTCATCACATAATCCACTGCTGAACTCCTCTTTTTTCACGGATTAATTTCCACTAAATACTTCTTGAAAAATTGTACTTGATAAATTACAATTTTTAAAAAATGTTTATTCCAAACTGCATTGGACTTAAGCTACACAACAAAATCTTTTGTTCTTATCAGTGAAAAAAAAAAGATCTGATTCCATCTGATATTACAAATAAACTTCTGATTAAGAAATTCACATGTAAAATTCAAAGATTAGAAACAGTGTGGACCTAACAATTTTCTCTGAGGATGATGTATTGATGTAGTAACTATCATCACATTTTAGACCTGGGAGGAAATTTAGAGATAAAATTAGAAAATTAGAGATAGTCAATCAAGGTTTGCAAACTCTGCCTCATGACGTTGGGTACCTGGGAGTTAGACCTAAGTTTCCTCAAAAGAAGGTTCTCCTTAGAACCAGGAGAGCTCCACTTTTATCTATTTACATTTGGAGATTTAAGATTTCTTTCTAACAACTTTTTTTTATTATTCTGCAAAACTTCTATTTAAAGAACGTTTTTAAAATTGAGGTATATTTGAAAAACCAAACAAGATTCTTTATATTTTAGCTGTACAATTTGATTTGATATACCTACAACTTGTGAAATAATTATCATAATGAAGCTACAAATCCATCACCTCTGCTAGTTACCCTTTTTTTTTGTGGTGAGATCAGAACAAGAACTTCTTATATTGAGAAAAACAGTAACTGAAATTCACTCATGAGGAAACTAAGGAGACTTGATTACAAAACAATTTATTATTGGAGTCAAGCTTTAAAGAGAGTCGCTTAAGGAAATACAGGTAATTAATAACTAACCAAGCAGGTCTTGCATTTATATTATCCAGTTTCCCATCTTGTCCTTTACCAAAATGATACAAATCATTATCTGAGATATTCTGAATAAAATTTAATATGATCTACTAATGAAAAATCTGTTTCAGAGTGATTTTTAAGAGAATACAAAAAATTATGATCAACATACAAGAAGGATAATAAAATCACAGTATTGATATAATATGCCTATTCATCTTTTGTCTTTTTAAGTTTAGATTACACCTTCAAATCACAATTCATTTTTTAAAAAGGATCTCTCAGCTTTTATAATTATAAACAAAAAATAGAATAAAATTCCATGAGACTGAGTTAGTAATTACCCTAGTTCTCAAAGGTTCCAGGAAGGTCATTCCATATAAAATAGCATAAATAATGTGTCTTCTTCATTTTGACCAAAATTTAACATGACATTTATTTACATTTCATCCCAGCATTCTTGTAGCATGTTTTTCCATTAGCCATTTTCTCTTTCATTTAACTCTTGAGAATGAAAAAATATCTTACAGTGAAAAGACATTGGATACTTACAAAAAAACCCACTTACTTCTGAAAAGAAAAACGGGTATCATTAAAACAACCATCAACTATATTGATTACTATATTTCTATTATTAAGAATGTTTAGTTAATTCTTCTTACATCATCTCAAAAATCCTAGTAAAGAAATGTAACTCTGTTACTTTTGGGGTATTTATAAAACTATATTTTACTAATTTGGGGAAAGAAGACAATATGTTCTATTACAAGAACTATAACAAGCTAATACAAATGTCAGGCTAGATTAGATGGGTAGTTTAAAAACTTTCAATATAATAAATTCAAATTCAATGAAATAAGCATTTATTGGAAATCCATCTAAATATTATATTTTATATACATATTGGTCAAAGAAAAAGGTAAAAAAAAGAACAAAGGTCAAAAAATACAGGTTCTCAATTTAATAGTAAATGAGAGTGGAAATCGAACCCTAATATAAAATGTTATTTCAAAGTTATGATAATCCCATTTCTTTTTATGCAGACATATAGGCAAAAAAAAAAGTATTAAAAACCTGTATGGCACCAAAATATTTTCAGAAATATGCTCAGACCTCTAGCTCACAGTGACCTTTTCTAAAATGGATTTGGATCATAATCCTGAAAGACACAATCCCACATGCCATAATCCTGAACGTTGAAACCTGAAAAGATTTTTTTAAATCCCAAAAGTCTAAATCCTTTAGGTCTAAAATCTCTCATGTCCACAATCCTGAAAATGACAATTTCAAAATATTAAAATCTTGAATATGAAATTTTGAAAGATGAATTCTGGAGAAGGGATTAGTTTTTGGTCACATGCAGGATGATTGCATCGTGTTAGTTGCATCATGTTAGGCAGTTGTTACGGTCTTTATTTGGAAATTAAGTATGGTTAAGGAGATACTTACGGGAGCCAAGCTGTCAAGGGGTGGGCCTGTAGATTCAATTTTAGAGATCAACTTGACTGGATTAAATTCTTAGAAACCTATTAAAGCATTTTTTTAGGGTGTGTCTGTGAGGGTGCTTCCAGATGACATTAGTGTGTCAATTTGAGTGGATTAGGTGGAGAAGATCTGTCCTCAGTGTTGTTAGGCACCATCCAATCCACCAGGGGCCCAGATGGAACAAACATAGGAGGAGAACTAGTTTCTCTCTGAGAACGAGGGCAGGCTTCTCTATGAATGCCTTGGACATCAGAAATTTGACTCTGCAAGAAGTGCATTAGTAGAATGTTGACTTTGCATATAAGCATTGTTTCCATACCCAAACATGTTGAAATTTCTTCAATAAACAAAGGAAATATTTTGTTATATCTGCATTTGTGAAAGAAAATGTATCAGGATTTTGGCTCTTTGGATAACTATATATGGGTTGGTGACCCACTGCATTTTTTGATCCATCATGCCAAAAAGCTTAGCTTATTCATCATGGAATTTTAGATGACTACAGTTATAAAAAAAATGGGTGCCCACAATCATCAACCACAGTGATATGCATTTATACATTTTCCTTTTTGACCTATTTCTTTATAAATACAGTTTGCTCATAACTGTTATACTGGGTATGACTGTTATTAGTATACCTGAGTATTTTTGCTTGTAAAAATTTGTGCCATCATTTCCTATTTTATTGTGTACAGTATTTTGTTTTGTTTTTATGTT